CCCCAAAAGCCCAAAACCCCAAAACCCCAAAACCCCAATTGATCAGAATTATCATAATTCAAGTAAATTGAATTGAGATTTTGATTAATATAATTTATTGAATGAACAACATGGATTAGTAAAACCAAGCTTCCTAATTATTAGCTTATTAGTAAGAATTTCTGAACTTCAAGCCCTAAAACCCTGGTATCGAGGAGACCTACTTCCAACAGCAATAAAGATAACTCTAGTAATAATAGTAAAACCCCGAGTACTTAATATAGAAGCTAATAAAGTTAGAAAATAGCAATCATCCTACTAACTAGTAGTCATAACAATAAATATAATAGTAGAAATAATAAATTAGATAGTAAATGTACGAACTGTAATAAATGCAAAATCAACATCAGCATTAGTAACAGTAAAATTCAATGATGTAGGAAATAATCTCTAAGTCAGAGGAAAATCATATCTAAATGATTTAGGCCCAAGCAGAAGCATCCCATTAAGAAGCCTAAGGGTTTACTTACTAACAAGCAGTAGATCCAAGATTCTAAACCAATAACCCCTATTTGCATCAGAAAATATACCACTCTATGCAAAATATCGGGCCAAACAATCTTTTTATAGAAGGATTGTCTCAACTTGGAAATTTAAACCAAAATTTCCAGAATAATTTCTAATAATAATTGTAGCATTAGTAATAATAGCACTCAGGCAAGCAAATTTCGTAATAGTAACACTTAAAGTAAAAGTGCTAGCAATAATAACTGATGAAACTTGAATTGGACAGCTAAATTGCTTAATAATAGCTACATGAAATGGCAAATGTTTTAGATTACAGAGATGGATAGGCTCTTGGCTTTAAGGAAAATGAGAAATACATAGATTCGAAAACGAAAACCATTATTATTCAAGAATTGGTCAATAGGAGTGCTTCCTTGAATAATAATAACTAGATTAAGCAGCATATGATTAAACCACAGACTCAAAGCACAAATCCATTTGAGAACTCTAATAACCTTGTAAGAATTGAATTGTTAATTATTCATTTTTTAGCAAAAATATTATCGAGACGTTCAAAATGCTGTGTTTAAAAATCTTCTTGAGGAGCTTAAAAGATTAGTTGCTTTTATGAGAGAATGGAAAAAGCTAGATCATTTGAAAGAGAGTTTTGACAAGGAAAACGAATAAACATTCTTACACTATGCTGCTTAAAAAAATTTTCATGAAGTCTTAGAGGTACTAATTGATGCTGGCTTGAATGTAAATGCTAAGGATAATGTAAGCTTATCATCATTACAATACAGTTAATAATTATATATCATTTTAGTATCATAGAACTCCACTAAATGAGGCATGTATTAAAGGTTCCTTCGAATGTGTCAGAATTTTGATTAAAAGAGGTGCGAATATTAATCTATATAATAAGTATCAGAACACATCACTTCATCTAGCAGCTCTAAATAATGAAATAGAAATAATAAACCTGCTTCTTGAGAATAAAGCTGACATTATGAAGAAGAATTATGTAAATCTTATAAATACTCAATAATTATAAATATAGGAACAATAAACTTGCCTTGACATAGCGATTGCGAGGGGTTTTGCAGAACTTGCAGATATTTTGGAGTATCATTTCAAGGTTGAAGTTATGTGGAAGAATAGAAATTGCTTGCTTAAACTCTATTTATCGAAGGAAAAAACTCCATTTAAGAATCTCTCCTTGGGCATATTCAGAGAAATCATAAAATATGCGTGAATTTAGAATATGAGTTAAACTAGAAAGAAATTCGTAAATTGGCTTTAAATTGATTATGACTAAGATAATAATAACTTTATTTTTTTAGAATTTTCTCAAATTCACTAAATCGGATCTCAAGGGGTTTTGGGGTTTTGGGG